AAAGTTGTCTCATTAGTAGAGGTCAAATCTCTAGTAGAAATCTGTTTATCTCATAACTACGTGCCCCCGTAGAATTTTGTCTCAATTGGACATAGATAGTGGATCCACCTAATCTTAAGAACATGGTACTTACCTTGGCAAGTAAGACTATGTTTTCTGTAAAACCTTGGAATCATGAAAAGGAAAGATTTCACGTTTTAGCCACTAGTTGTTGTGTTCTATGGATCCATTCTATAGGTTGTAGATACTTCTACGGACCGTAGAGTGCATCCGTAGGAAGTGGGTTAAGGTCTGAGAAATTTCAAGTCCTAGTAACTTGATCTACCATTGACCATGTCGAGTCGTGGGATGTTCTACGGACCGTAGATGGATTTCGTAGAAGAAATTCATACTTGGTGAATTTTTAGTGTAAAAGTTGAGTTTCTAGAGTTTGGGTCTACGGACCGTAGAAAGGTCTCGTCAAAGTTGCATGAATTTAAAGGTTTCAGTACTTGATCTATGGTTGACCATTACGGTCCGTCGAAAGTTCTACGGACCATAGGTCTGCCTGACAGTTATTTTAAAGAGGTATTTGGGTCTTTTCCTATGCACCTAATACCTATACTACATCGCTTTAACCTATAAAAGAGACCCTATAACTAAATTTACTCCTATAATCTACCCATTCCCTTTCATTTCCCTAAAAATTCCCAAAATCCTCTCAAGATCAAGGTAGAAGAAGCTAGGGTTCCCAAATCAAGTCTCATTTTTCACTATTATTTTGGGATTCAAGATCACGGCATGTAGGGAGTTTATAAATGGGTTTCATTCACACATTGAATCCCAAGAATTTCTTCAATTTAATTTCCCTAAATCAGTTAGGTTTTCATTAAGTTCCTCATGGGTTCTATTTGTATGGATTCAATTATTTGATTTTAATGATATCATGATAGTATCGACTTAATTACATGTTTTCCAATAAATTCCATATGAACTCATGCATGATACATGATTTTGACTATCAACTATAGAAGGGTATGAATTTATGAAAAGGTTATGAAGCTATGAGGTGACATTTTCACGAAAGATATGCATGATTTATGAAATTGAATGTCTTATAATCCAGGTTGCTTTAATATTAGCATCAACTAAATTGTGAAAGGTTTTCTCACATTAAGGGATCATGGTTTGGTGAAATGTTTTTTCTCACATCCATGATTCAAGATTTAAGGAGCTATTCTATGATGTTTAAGCTTGGATTAGTAACTTAATTATGCTCTTCCATGTATGATAATATGCTTATATTTATGACTAAATCCGTTGGAATTTTACTTAGCCCCGACATGATATTGAGATGGAGGCTCTCTAATTAGTAAAGGTCATTGTCCATAACTACGTGCTCCTGTAGGTTTGTCTTAAGTGACATAGCTAGTCGATTCAACTAAGCTAGAAGTTAAGGTCCTTGCCTTGACAAGTGAGGACATCTTTTTTCGGTGTGGGAGCAAGACACTAGATTTCATGTTATAGCTTATGTGGTCTATGTCAGTTAATAGTAAATATCCTACAAAACGAACTAAGTTACTTTTAGATATTCTATGAAGCTTTTCTTATGATTTAAATGCATTGACCATGTTCAAGTTTTTTGATGTTTCTTTAAAGGCTTTTACGATGATTAGCTTGGTCATGAATTTCATGCTTTCAATTATATCCCCTTATTAGCATGATTCATGTTTTTATGCATATCCTTCGTACTTTGTACATCCCATGTACTAATACATACTTCTGCCTACATTCTTTCACTAATATAGAGTGTGACGCTTCCTCTCCCTCCACTCGTGGCTGGTTGGTGATAGCTTAAGGATTTGAAGACGCGATGAGTCATCATACTCTGAGGACCATGTCGTCTTTATTAGTTTCATATGTATTTATGTTTCGGAAGTTGTATGTGGTGTACGAATTACATCCCGACCACTTCCCTTGATGTACTAGATGGCTTGTCATGACTATGAGGTTTCCGCTGTTAAATGTCAAAAATCTTTTATTCATTGATGAGATTCCTTGCTTTTTATCTATTATATTATGTATATGCATATCAAGTGGCTTGTGCAGGGCCTTTCGGGGTCTTATACACCATGTCACGTTTAGGGTGTACTTTGGGTCCTGGCATTTTCGGTAGGGGAAAGATACCATATTCCATGTTATTTCTCGCATAGTCTATGTCGGTTAATGGTAGACATCCCATAAAAAATAATTATGGTTTTCTCAAAAGAGTTTATGATTTGCCAAAGATGGTGATTTAAGCTCATGTTATGATTTTCAAATGTTGCATTTACCTTGTCTCATTATTTATGATTTTAGCTTATCAAGGTTTGATATGTTTTACTTGGCCGTGCATCATCATGTATTCAAGACTTAGCATGTTTCATATTTATGTTTATGCATGTTCCTCATATTTAGTACATTCAAAGTACTTATGCATATATCTCTTGTGTATATATTGTTTCATAATAGGATCTGATGTTCCTCCATCAGGCCGTGGCTAGTGGATTGATTTGCTTAGCTTGTGGAGTCCTCATGGTTCGAGGGCATGATCATACATTATGAGTTTCTTATTTGTTTCAGTCGTTTCAATTTTCATACTTATTTCGTGAGCTAGGGCTTGTTCTCACACCTATGATATAGAGGCTTGTTGTCAAACTTAGCATAATTTTGTATTTGTAGTCTTTGTACTCTGATTTTGGTATCATATTGATTTGAAGTATTGAGACTTATAATCCGCTCTATCTGTTTATTTCTATTATGTTGAGATCTTAATGTCATGCTTATGTCTAGTGGCTTGTTTAGGATCTTTTCGAATTTTATTCATCATATCACGTAGGGGTAGTTTAGGTCGTGGCACTAAGGGATCAGCAGGAATAGAACATGTTAGTCTACAAATTGGGCAAAATCAGTTTCAATGGAGAAATTACATGATATAGTTACTCATCAGATCCTAGTAAATGTTTATAGACATCAAATTAATAAAGTCCTCCTGTTGATCAAGCCTTATAAGGATATGTTTATGTCTCAAATCAACCTATTTTACATCCACCTTAGATATTGCAATACCTAGGAATTAGCATTCTAAGTTCCTCTAGATCAGGCCAATCATATAAAAAAGTTTCAACCACCGCAATTAAAGATTCTCTATGGTGTTCATTCTATCAACTTCATGGAAATTCTATTATTCTAGGAGATTTTCTTCACTAGTATAGGTTCCACCCCTGAAGTTGGAGCTTAAGTATGGACAGAGGCGTATGCAAGAGAGGTCATCGGGTTCACGTGAACCCATGCTCCCCTCCTAAAATCATATATAGTGGCATTATATTTTTAATTTTTTTTTTTAATATTGATGTGTGAACTCACAATTGAAGTATCATATAATGCGATGATAATTGAGTGCACCTCTCAGTGAGATTAGAAATTTAAATTTTATATCTATCTTGTATTATTTTTCTTTCTAAAATTGATTAACACCTCTCTAAGTGGTTATTGATAACACTTTTGGTGTTTAAATTAGTTAAGCATTTCAATTTTGGACCTATAAGTTTAAAATTTAACTGTTTTCAATGATACAAATTGTTAAATGTCAAACCGATTAGATCCACATTTGCATAATAGTGCACCCATCATCTCAAAATCCTGACTACGCTAATATATATGTGCTTTTTAAGAACATGTGCATACTATCTCTAGCTTTAATCCCGACCTTTGATCTAATAATTAATGAACTCTTATGTTTGCGACATATGTCTAGCCTTTTAGTTCCTGATGACTACACAAAGCTCGTATTGGTGCTCTTTATCTCTCCGATCAGACAAACACCTTTCCCAATTCCTATTTGTGGCACTTTGTGTTTGGACATGTGATTTCATCTTGTGATTTGAAATCATGAGATGAAATCAACATTTAAACATGTGATTTGAAATCATAAGATGAAATTTCAAATTCTTCAAAACGCTTGATTTGTTAGTTTCATATCATGATTTGAAATCATTAGATGACTCAAATTCTTCAAAACGCTTGATTTGAAAATTCATGATTTCACATTTTCAAATACAAAAATTGACTCACAAATCTATATTTGTACAAAACCTCCCACTATTTTATATCTACAGGATATTTTGCGAGAATACTAAAGGATAATATATTCACGGAATATGAACATGATGATATAGTTACTAATGATATTGACCAACAAATGACTCAATAAAATAGAGTACAGTACACAACTCATGCTCAATTTTATTTTTTTATTGAAGTAAAGTTTGATCGATAAAAATATTATACTTTTTTATAATAGCTTTGTTATGTTGTATTATACTTTTGCTATGAACTTTTGCTTATTTGATAAGATTGTATAAAAAAATTGGGGGCAATTTTTGAAAGTTTTCAAAACTTGTGATTTACTTTTATTAATCACTTTTCAAATAAATTTGTCAAACACAAATTGCATTTTTTTAAAAGAGCTATTTTAAGAAAGTGCTTATAAAAATAAGCAAATTTCAGCAACAATGCCAAAGAGGCTATGAAACTTATTAGTAGAGCAAGAAGGCATTTGAATATATGTATGGAACCATGCTGGGAAGAAGAGGGAACACTGGATCATGTGTCCTCACTTGTTTCCTCATGGTTTCTTCAAATTTTTGTTACCCCTTTGAAAATTATGATTAGAAAAATTGTCCTTTAAGCTCCGGACTCAATTATCCAACATCACAAAATGCTTAATTCCATTACAAAAGAAAGGTAGGGTTTAAAGGAAAAGGTTTTTCACTTCCATGTCCCAGCTCATCAAAACTTATTTTACAGCTACACGAATATTACTAACGTGTTTAAAGATCACAAGTTTCAAAAAAAGTAATAGCACCCACAAATGTTATAATATGTTTAAGATCATGTGTCAAATGTTTTCATTTTTTTAATTAAGTTTTGTGTCAAGTCAGACTATAACAATCAAAGTAAAACGGAACGAAGGGGAGTAGTAAAATTAACCAAGCAGCGGTAAAATCTGGGGTACAAGAAGAATTTCGAAATACGAAGGTAATGAAAACCCAAAATCTGACACCAATAGCGCAAAGCCTAAAACTTCAAATTACTTACTAGCTACCATCGTGAATTGAATGTTACCACAGCAACAAGAGTGATGCATTGGAGTTCTGTTAACAGCCTGAGGGAATCAATGGGAAATTCTTCTGATAACGACAAATCCGGAAGCCAACACTTTAAGTTGTTCCTTCAATAAAGCTTTACATGTATGATCTATAATCACCGTAGGATCAATGTATATGAATTGAACTGGGTTAAAACCTTCCTCCATGCCACAAAGTTCCTGGAACCTCCACCACTTGATGTAAGTTTCTATAACGGAAGCTCATTACAGAAGCTTATCAAGTTTAGCTTCCAAATCCTGCATTGAAACCATCTTGACAAGGTCTTGTCTATCCTCAGGTGTATATTCTTTTTTCAGAAGGGATAGCACTTGAACGTGTGCTTCCAATATATTAGTCCTGCACAAATATGAAAACGGAATTACAGGCTCAGAATCTTTTAAATGATGAAGAAGTACGAAATACAGAATTTGCAACAATACAAAGCATGACCTTTACACACGGAAATTAAATAAATGTGTTGTTTGTATATTTCCTCAATGCTTTGTCCTTAACCCACAGAATTTGAATAAATGTGCTGTTTTTATATTTAATTAATAATTACACCATTCTTGTAGAAAGCCAACGTCATCAGTTAAATTTTCTGGCATGCCACCTATGCAGAGGCTGTAGCTTATTGCAACCATAACTACATAATGAAAAGGAATCTGGGACAAAAATTTCAACAAGTTGTCTCTCATTAGGGAATGAACCAGATTATGCCTAACACTTCAGCATGTGTTTCACAGTCTAATACCCTTGGACCGTGGGTCATGGACTCCAGCGTTTCTGACCATATTTTCAGTGATAAATCACTTTTTTCAAATATTATTTATTCTCAGTCTCACTGTGTTGTTACTTTAGCCAATGGGATCTAACCAAAAGCAAAATGAGTTGAACAAGTTTATTTATCCTTTGTCACTCTAAACTCTATTCTTTATATTCTTGGTTGTCCTTTTAATCTTGTATCTGCCAGTCGTGTGACTTGTGCCCTATATTATGACATAATATTTCTTGATGATTCTTTTGTTATACAAGACCACTGAACAAGACAGACGATTGGCTTAAGAGATGAATCTCACGGCCTCTATTACCTTGCCTCTCCTAATTCTTCCACAACATGTCTAATTATAGATCCTCCGAACATTTGGAACACCGAGTTTATAGTGCCTAGTTTGTCTAGTCTATCCACATTAGATTGTGAGTTGTGTCAACTTTGAAAACACACCCACACTATCTTTCCACATAGTGCTCAGAGTCGTGCACAATATTTTTTCATTAATTCATTCTAATAGTTGGGAGCATAGTAGAGATGGTTCAACCTTAGGATGTTGTTATGTCATTAGCTTCTCATTGATGATTATTCAAGATGTACTTAGATTTTTTTAATGAAAGATCATTTGAAAGTTATTTTCTACATTCAAGAGATTTTGTGTTGAAATACATCATCAATTTGAGGTTTTTCTTCGTACTTTTCATAGTGATAATGCCTTAAAATACTTATTCTCTCAGTTTCAGCAGTTTATGGCTCACCATGGATTTGTTCATCAGATATCTTATTCATACACCCCTTGGCAGAATAGGGTAGCAGAGAGGAAGAGAGGTACCTCATTGACTGATCGCACTTTTCTCATGAATCGTATTCCTTATTCAGTATTGTTTACTTGGTTACCTCTGTACTCTCTTCCACCTTGAGTTTTTGAGAGCACATGTTATGTTCATAACTTAGCCCCTAGAAAAGATAAACTAACCTCCGAGGTCTCAAATGTGTCTTTCTTGGTTATTTTCAGGTTCAAAAGGGGTATCGTTGCTACTAACCAAATCTTTGTTGGTAACTTATGTCAGCTAATGTGTCACTGTTGTGGATGCATTGGAAGATAATTGAATTAAGTATTTAATTATTTTCTGAGTAACTTTCTTTATTATTCTAGAATAGGATTTATGTTTCATAGCTTCATAAGGATTAGGTTAAGCTATAGTTATTAGTTTGGAATAGAATTTAGGTTTCCTACTTTCTAAGGATTAGACTTCCTACTATTGTAACTGAAAAGGGTCATATTTGCCTTTGTACTCTAAGAAAAGAGCTATATTTACCCTTCGTCATACTTTTTTGATATATTTTCCCTTGTCGTCCAACTTTGGGCACATATTTGCCCTTGGGCAGTTAAGTATGATGTCACCACTTTTATCATCTTACGTGGCACTAACGTGGCTCCTACATGGATATATTTTTATTATAATTATAAATTTAACTCCTATTTAATAATTTATCCACCTAATTTGCAACTCGGCCCGCCGGTCGACTCAACAACTCGGTCTACGTCAATTTACGCTGATTCAGCATCCTCTGATTCGTCGTCGTCTCTCTCGTTACAACCTTCGATGCCGACGTTCCATCGCGTGTTGCAGCTGAGCTTGAAGTGTCGTTGTCATTACTTCGTGTGCTCTCGCCCTTGCTTGCCAAGCCTGAGCCTTTGCGCTCAATTGCACTGCACTCGCCTCTAGTTCGGTGTTTCGCCGCGCTGCTTACTCCATCTCTGCTTCTTTTTTCTCTTAGCCTTTGTGTCATTGGTTCCTCCACTGCTCCGATTAGTGCATGGTAGTAACGTTGCTTTTTCTCTGCTTACATACGCCTCAACTGCTCTCCTTATTGAGAGGATGGGTATTGGGTTAATGGGTTTTTAAATTGGGTAGATTAGATTTTATTAAGTGGGTTGGGTAAACTATTAAATAGGAAGTAAATTTTTAATTAATTAATAAAAATATATCCATGTACGAGACATGTAAGCGCCACGTAAGATGATAAAAATGGTAACATGATACTAAACTGTCCAAGGGCAAATATGTACCTAAAGTTGGATGGCAAGGGAAAATATATCAAAAAAGTATCACGGAGGATAAATATATAAGAGTACAAGGGTAAATATGACTTTTTTCCGTTGTTATAATAAGACTTCCTACTCTCTTCCATTGAACTCTAAGGGGTCGTTTGGTTGGGAATAAGTTATCCCGAAATTAATTATCTCGGGATAAGTTATTCCACCATATTCATGGGATATTACTAAATACCTCAAACCAAATGCAAGATAAAATAACCCTTCGGGGTGGCCCAGTGGTTTGAGCTTGGGACTTCCATGTTGGAGGTCTCAAGTTCGAAACCCCTTGCCAGCGAAAGCAAGGGGTTTGCCTTCTAGGTCGAGCTCGTCGCACCAGGCTTGCCTAGTGCGGGTTACCTCTCCTATGTGGTTTGCGAGCTATTGCATAGGAGCGGGGGTTTTACCCTGTGTGCACCTAAAGGGTAGCGGCTGCGGATTTCCCTTGTCGTCAAAAAAAAAATAAAAAAATGCAAGATAAAATAATCCAGTATTTTATTCGGTGATTGTTTTTTTTTTTGAAATTGGTAACTTTTTATATTCCTCAGCATTAAGGGCTATGCTGGCCACCTCCAAAAAAAAAACTGTTACAACAAAAGGAAAAGACTAAAAAGAAATACTTACAGAGATCCTATGAAGTCCACTAATTGGATCTCCTCTTCTATATCCTGTTCTTTACACCAAAAACCTAAAGTAGTAATTACTTTCCATTTGATCTTCTGTATTGTACACTCCTTTCCTTCAAAAATTCTCTGATTCCTTTCTTTCCATATAATCCACCATATACATGCTGGAACTGTTCTCCACCATCTTTTCTGACTTTTGCTGCCTCCCCTTTTGATCCAGCAGCTAAGAAGGTCAGAGGTGTGTTCAGGCATAGTCCAATATTCATTGGCTATGCTTGTAAACAGAGCCCACACCTGAGCAGTTACCTTACAGTGCATGAATAAGTGTTTGTTAGTCTCCAGAGCTTCTTTACAAAGGAGGCATCTGGATACTATGTTGATGCCCCTCTTCTGCATTGCCTCATGAGTCAAACATTTTTTCCTAGCAACCAACCAAGTGAAACACTTCACCTTGGCAGGAGCCACACTTTTCCATATTGTGTTCCAAGGTCCAATGGATCTTCCTGCACATCTTTTAAGTCCCCAGTTGTATAATCTATTCACTGAAAATACCCCATCTTTGTGATGTCCCCATGCTAATCTGTCTGGCTCTAGAGTAGTACCTGGGAATCCACCAATCAAGCCCAAACACTCCACCATTCCATCAATCTCCCAGTCATTTAGCAGTCTTCTAAATATTATATTCCAACCTTGTGGTGACCACATCTCCTCTATCTTGCTGTTGGTATTTGTGCATATTGAGAAAAGAATAGGGAACAAGTCCCTCAAAATCCCATTTCCACACCAATCATCTAGCCAGAACTTTGTTTTGTCTCCTCTACCCACCACAATTTTTGAGTTGTTGTTTAGACTCTCCCAAAGGTTTCTGAGGTGTCTCCTAAGGTTTCAGCCTCTTTTTAACGAGTTTAAGTTATATACAAAATAGGTTGATCTAGGAATTCGAACAAAGGCAAGGGAAAGTTGAAGTCAATTGATTTAGATTTTCTAGTTCATCAACCTGCGACTCAATCCTTCTCTAAGAATCCTAACAATATGGTATCAGAGCCTGACACTATGGGCAATGAGATCAATTCCAGATTCCAAGAACATGCAATCACAGAAACATTAATGGACTCTAAACTTGCAGTAATGGAATAATGCCTCGGCAAAAGAGTTGTCCAAATCATTCAAGAATAGTTTTTTTTAGAAAGGTAACATTAATTCAAGAATAATTTTCTGACTTGAGAATTGGCTCCTCAAAACCAGCAACCCAAGGAACTCAGTCGAGTAGCGCCCCAACGATAGGCAGACCAACAAATCATCCTACTAGAGGCAACACACTACATATTTAACTAGATGATCAAAATCATCCAACAAATGGTAATTCCCATTCGATAGTACCAAGGTATACAAGGATCCTAACAGCCACATTTTTAAAGTCTCGGCCTTTACGTCTTCTTTTGATCATCCTCATATCTCTAAGGTCCTATATCAACTTTTCCCGACTTATCATTGTCATCCGTGTCAAGCATCGGGCTCAAGATGATTCAAGTCCTGCGACAGACCATGCACCTACCACGAACTTGTCTCCTCCTAGCCAATCGATTACTCTTTATACAATCCACTTGTAATACTAACCCCGACTATACATTTTTAAGTTATCATCGTGTGTCATCACCCCATTATGCCTTTGTATCATCATCTATTTTCATCTTTGAGTCTACAGGTGAAGCACTTTTTCATCCAGAATGGTGACAGGCCATGATTGACAAGATGTCCGCACTGCATACAAGTGGCACTTAGGAGCTTGTTCATCTTCCTTTATATAAATCTATTGTTGGTTATCGTTGGGTTTATGCAATCAAAGTTGGTCCAGATGACAAGTTGATCAACTTGAGGCTCACCTTGTTGTCATGGTGTACTTGGATATTTGGGCTTTGATTACAACGATACTTCTCCCTCGTGGCTGAGATAGAATAGGTCTGTTTATTTCTTTCCATGGTTGTGTATCATTGACTCTTTATCAGCTAGACATTAAAAGTGTTTTTTTCTCCACGGCGACTTTGAAGATGAGGTTTATATGGAGTAACCACCTAATTTTATTGCTTAGGAGGAATCTAGTGCTCTTGTATATCGTTTCAAACCGTCTCCAAAAGCCTGGTTTGGTAAGTCTTAACACATTTATCCAATTGTTTGGCATGACTTGTAGTGAAGCTAATTACTCTGTGTTATTGACATTCGACTCTCAATCAGTGTATTTATTTGGTGGTTTATGTTAACGATATTGCTAATACTAGCAATGATCAGGACGGTATCACTAGTTTGAAGCAGCATCTCTTTCAGCACTTCCAGACTAAGGATTTGGGAAGATTGAAGATTTTTCGAGTATTGAGGTCGCTCCTGTCTAGGTCACATATTGTTATATCATAACGTAAGTATGCTTTAGATATTTTCTGAGTAAAATTATGTCTTGGAAAAGTAAGAACCTAAGTATGGTTACTCGATCTAGTTTGGATGAAACAGTTGCTCAGAGAATTGAAATTTGAAGAAATCAATCAAATGGAACTTGTATGTGATGATCAAACTAGCTTTAATATTGTGCCAAATCTGATGTTCCGTTGGAGGATTGAAGACATTAAGATTGAATGTCACTTCATCCGAGAAAAAGAAATACTCTCAGGCTAAGTTGCACAGACTCTTCACTTTCGATGTCAGACTCGTGTCGACACGACGTGGTGTGCGTGAGGGATATGTACCGAATATGATCAATCAATTTTGGATACTTTCGCCAAAATAGATAGAGAAATTTGACACAGATAAAATGATTTGTAAAATCAAAACAAAAGATAGGGTGAAATCATAATTTAGGTTTATCTTTGTTTATCATCAAAAGATATTTGTACTAATGAGTTTGCAACCAGACGGTGCTTTAAAGATATTTCCAAATCAATACCATTGTTGAAGTGCAATTAACTCAAGAAGACTGCAATGGTTTCTATATGATTTGTAATAGTCATGTTACACCTAAAAAAAATAGTAAGGAGGTGCATTTGTACTTGATAATAATCATACTCAAACTTGCTCTCAAAAGGTAGTGCATTCCTTTCCTTCCAAATAGTCCACCATAATTCAGACATATTTTTGTAACTCTACTTAAAGATATTTGAATTATTTTTAGCAGAATCCCCGCACTTGTATCTATAAGTGGATTCATATCTCCGAATCTTAAAATTTAAATCATAGAGGATCCAACCTCTAGATCTGCACCCGTATCCGACACCCGCAACTGAGTCCGAGCAACTTAGCTCTTGGGAGATACTGTTACAAGTTTGTGAAATCAAATAATCAGCTTGCACGTATTTTCACCTAGTCCCTCACTGGTCCTCATATTAGTAAATCTATAACAATCTCGGTATATATGTCTTACATGTAAAAGTACTGTAATGTATGGGCTCATTGTAGTAATGTGGTTTACACAACTCAATAATATGTTCCTGTGCCTTTACTTCTCACAAGTATAAAGATTTAAAAGATAAACAAACTAAATAAGTTCTATTACGCTATAACTGCACAAAAGATCTTACTTAATGGGTTTGAAAAGTATTGCACGTGTCGATGAATTCTGCAGATAGAGCCTCATTTTTACCAACACCCTAGGTAAATCTTCATCCATTGCTGTGTTGACCTGTGCCAAATAAATGGATCAGCATGTAAATCGAAAGAGAGGGAAACACTGACTGAATAACAAAAGATCAGCAAGCATGGTGTTTGTTGATTTAAAACCAGTATAATTGATTGGTTTGGTTATTTTGGTTCATTCAGCAATTTGTGTAAAACAAAAGCAGTGTTGATCAAAGGTTTTTTCTTTAATTCAAGAAAAAATAAGCTTATCTATCTGTTTACCTTCTGAAGGAGCTCGGCAATCTTTTCTGGTGAAGCAAAAGCATGCTCCTTGAGTGGCTTCGCAATCCCAGATTCCAGTTTTTTATTTTGACTACCAGATAATGCAACTTTAACAGCCGTAACCTATAGACATTTCATACCGACTAGTTAAAATCTTAAAAATGAATATTCATAAGGAAATCAACAAATCTGCAAAGTCGTTAAAAAAATCAGTTTTCCACTCTAACACTTAAGCTCACAACCACATTCAGACCTCTGATTACAAGTCCTATTACTTCTTCCCATGTCCATCAGTAATACATCTCAGGTCAAATAACAATGAAATTGATTCACCATGGGACAGTGTGGGGCCATACCACCACCACCCAATGCAAAAACCAACAATGTCGAGTACAATTGGGCTAATTAAATCACTTACGGTTTTTGTAAAATAGAGGGTCGCATTGTATTGAAAATCAGCAAAAAGACACTGATGGTAGCCATATTTACAGATTCCAAAAAAGCAGAACTATGTCCTATTTCATTTTACAAGGATTTTATGTTGTCTAGTAAGGAATCAGCATCATATAATTTCCTCTCATCCCATATATGTATTACTCCTCCAACATTCTTCCCTACCACCTTAACACACACTTCTCACAATACTACCTGACACTGCCATTTCAGTTTCTAAAAATAGTGTAAATTTACCCCTATTCTCTTGTGCCTATCTTGATGATGACCCTTTTGTTCGAGTCACTCATCCCTCTCGTTTTACAACTATTTATCCTAATATCCATTGACCACATCTTTTATTTCCCCCTATCTTCACCTCCTACCCCTCCTTTCCTTTCCCCTACCCCTATTCCTCCTTCCATACACCACTATGTTTCCCCTGCACTCTGTCACCACCTAATTCCTCTTCTCAAAGTTGTGTCAAGACTTGCTGCACCACCACCTCCACTTGACACTTGTTCTACGTCATGTAAGGGGTTCAACTTCACATAAATCTACTAGACTTCCAAAGTTAAAATATTTATTCCTGGATCATTTTGTTAACTTCTTCTCCCTTCGATGATTGCTATAGGTTGAGGATGTTCCTCCCTTCCATTTGAATTCCTCATTTCCCAATTCTTTGCCCAATGCTAGAGCCACCACATGTAACAATTCCTTCGGAACAAGTGTTTTTGACAGTTGCCCCCAATTATTGACATCAGTATACTATCCATTTTTGACAGTTGCCCCCAATTATTGACATCAGTATACTATCCATTCAGCCCATCCACCACTTCCACAAATCCCTCAACCTCCTTTTCCTCTTTAAGTTTAGGTAAACCCGAAGAGCACTTAAAAGTTGATGAGAACTCGATTAATTATTTATAAATAGTTCAAAGTTACACTTATAATGAATAAGATTACATGGGATGGAGAAAATGTTCTTCATCAGGAGAAGAAAAGGTACAACAACACACCCAATGTTAATCCCACAAGTGGGGTCTGGGGAGATTAGGTTAGAGTGCACACAGACCTTGGGAGGCAGAGAGATTGTTTCTTATAGGCCTTCGGCTCATGAAAAAAGAAAGAGAAAGTAAAAAAGCCAAGGAGAAGAGAAGGTACCCCGACAGCAATCATTAATTATTAAAAGAACAAAGTTGAAAATGTTGAAAGATTGCTCCTACAAATAAAGAAAAGAACAAAAGATGAAAATTGAAAACAATACTAACCTTTGTCACAAAAGAAAGCAATGGTTCCACAACTAACTTAGTCACTGACATAATGAACTCCTCGCAAGTAGTTTTCAGGCTTTTCTCCAATTCCTGCATTCAAAGAAGCTTTTTACAAATTGAACTTCTAAAAATTTTGTATTCACCATTCATATAGCCATTTTTTCACCCTGCCCAACTTTTTCCCGGGATGAGGGTTGATAAGGTCACATCTTTCCATGTAAATGTCATTATCCTTGTTTCAAAGAAAAGGAAGAGGGCAAGCAGATGGTAAAACAAGAAAGGAAGGATAACAAATCATCAAGCATAACTGGACAAAGAGGAGGACATAAACCCGTTTTACCACCCGTCCACCTGTACCTAACTATAAAAATTACAACATATCTAGTGTAGTCCCACCAAGTGGGGCCTGGGTAGGGGAGGGTAGATTTGTAGAGTGTACGTAAACCTTACCTCTACCTTAGAGGTGAGGTAGAGAGGTTGTTTCCGATAGACCCTCGGCTCAAGGCAAAAACAGTTCAGAAAAAGACTTGATGGAAGTACAAGAGACAATAGATAGTAACAAAAACAATAGATAGTAGCAGAACAGTACTACCATAAAATAATTACTATAATCAAACTACACGAAACCATAGATAGTAAAAAAATTCGAATAACAAGAAACTACAAGAGTAGTACAACAACCACTGGTAAGGGAAAAAAGACGATGCACTCCTACCTACAAGCTATGTTGCTCGGACTTTTCAAAAATTTCAACGGGTGCGTGTCAGATTCGCCAAAAGTAGTGCATTTTTGGAGAGTCCGACATGGGTGCGGCATCAAAAGTGAAGAGTCCGCGCAACTAAGCCTACAAGTATGGATGCACTCCTACCTACTAACCTTTTACCCTAATTTGTGTCCTCCTCGACACCTTCCTATCGAAGGTCATGTCCTCGGTAAGCTGACACTACAACATCCTATCTTATCACTTCTTCTCAATACTTCTTTGGTCTACCTCTATCTCTCGTGAATCGATCCATAGACAACCTCTCACACCTTTGCACTAGGGCATCCATGGATCTCCTCATCACATGCCCTAACCATCTCAACCTTGCTTCCGACACCTTGTCTCACTCACCTTGTCTTGAATATCCTCATTTTTAATCTCATCTCTCCTAGTATACCAACACATCCATCGCAACATCCTCATCTCCGCCACTTTCATCTTTGGAAGGTTAGAATTCTTGACTAACCAACACTCTGCCCCATACAACATAGCTAGTCTAACCACCACTCTGTAGACTTTCCATTTAAGTTTAGGTGGCACATTTTTATCACACAAGACTCCAGATGCGAGCTTCCATTTCATTCACCCTACACCAATATGGTGAGCGAATCCTCTTCAATCTCCCCATTTCCCTGGAAAATAGACCCAAGATACTTGAAACTACCTCTCTTTTGGATGGCCTATGTATAAAGCCTCACTTCTACATTAGCCTCATGCATCACATCACTGAACTTGCATTCTAAGTATTTAGTCTTGGCCTAATTAACTTGAATAATTTAGACTCCAAGGTTGGTCTCCAAACCTCTAAGTGATTTTATTTGCCATAGAACAAAGGTGAAGAAATAAAATTGCCTTAACAGAATAATTGGGATAGAATACCAGTCCGAAACCAATTTTAAGACCTTTGCATGATCTTGTGAATTCACAAATTTGTTGTAATGGATGCATCTAGGAATTTCACCAATAATGTTGATGGAACTCCAATTTGGCATAAATTGATAATTTATTTGATTTATCAAAAGAAAGATTGTGAAGTTCATGAATGACTAAGAAAATTGACATGAAAAGAACAAGAAAATACAAAGGCATAATACATAAATGTGCCCTTTAACTTGGCCTCGGTGGCATCTCTGTCTTCCAACTTAGGGTGGACAAGTAAGCACCTAAGCTTGCATAAAATTGAAAAAGTAGACACATGAGTCCAACAAATGAACTCAAAAAATTCTAAAGAAGAATAAATGGATTTATAATAAAAAGGATGCTATAAATATTCTGAAATAAGCATTGTATGTGTATTATGCCACATTGGACATATGTATCTACTTGTTCAACTTTAAACAATTTTAAGTGTCTAGTCCACACCCAAAGTTGGAGGGCACAAATGCCAATTGAGGCCAAGTTAAAGGGAACGTTTATGTATTATGCCAAAAAAACAAATCTAAAGAAGAAATGGAACTGAACGGCATCCTAGAAACACCTGTCCAGATAGAATTTACCCAAGGTCAGAAAATTAAGCACGTGAATGTCACTTTGTTTCCATCCCTGGTTGTGTAGAAAGGAAGATGAATTCCATGAGAAGCAAGTTCCCAATAAAGGGCATGACGGAAAGAAAAAAGCTCATCCGGTGAAGTTGCAGGAGCTTATAAAAGATAAGGAAGGTGGGGGATTAGGTGTGAATTTTAAAATTCCATAGTAGAAATATGTAAGTGATTATGGAGATGCAATGATAGTAGAGAGGTTGATGAAAGTGGTCAGCTTTAATACTTTTTGGAACCTGGGTTCCTTGATGATAACAGGGTGGATTCACAGATTTGGATTGCCGGTGAGGATGGCAAATTTTCTGTAAAGAGTTGTTATAGTTTAATGCAGAACCAAATAGGCCATTGGGACTTGCATTGGCATTGGAAAATGTCGTGGAAGTCCTTAGAACCTCTTAAAGTTGCCTGTTTTGGTTGGATTGCAACCTAGGGAGCATGCTTAACTCAGGACATGTTGCAAAGAAGAGGAATTCATTTGTGCAGCAGATGCTTTTGGAGAAGTCCCAGGACTTTGGAGAACATCTCTTTCTGCTTTGCAGCCATATACAGCAAAATATGGGATCTTTCTCTGAACACAAGTGGAGTGCATTGGTTGAAGCCAAGGAATGTGAAAGATTTGCTGATATGTTGGCAAACTCAGAAAGTCAGGAAAAATCTGAAGAAAATCTGGAAGACTATGGGTGTGTTCACTGTTCAGTATGGAGGATTACCAATTTTCCATGTTTGGTTGGTCAGAATTTTTGGTAAAATAGTTTTTCTAGGAAAATAAATTCCTAAAAAAAAAAGGAAAATGACTTTCCAAGTGGAATTAGGGAAAACAGGTTCTACAAGTGACATTTCATGCTTATTGTGTCCTCCACGCCCTCCAACACACCTTATCTCCACCCCATCCTCGTAGCCCCCACCCCCACCACATCACAGCCCTACCCCCATCTTCCATAGTATTTGTCTAGATTATATATAATATTTTTTACTTACGTACGAACACAAAAAAATAAGTAAGAAACCCACTTGGTATCTTTTGGACCATGTGGCTGGAAAGAAATAATAGATGGTTTTTTGAGAACCAAAGGAGCCACCTAGCTTTTATAAGAAGAGATGTCTTCAAAATTTACACTTTTGGTGTAAGATATAGTAGATAGCTTAGATCAGCTTATGAAATTTATAGGTGTTTTGGGATGTAACTGGTACAATACAGCTATCCAGGAACTTCTAATTTTCTGTTTACCTCCTTGGTACTTCCTTTTATGAAACCTTTACCTGATCTAATAATAATAAAAGAAAACAATAAGGACCATACCGCACCCCAAGTGATTTGAACTAGTAAGGGTTTCTATGGGACAAAAGAGGCCCAAAATGTTTTCATAAAGTCATACATGATACTCACCTGCTAAATTGGAAGAATCAATAGAAGTCCGTGCATCATTAATACAACCCCAAAAACACCGAATCAAAACCACGGTTAAGATTTATATAGGGAAAAAAAGGACCCACGAAAGTTAATAAATGATACTCTGTTAATTAGAAGAAACATCTTTCATAGGGTATCTTATCCCTCTAAGAAAGGGCAAGAACATAACAACCATATAACTTATATGTTGGTATTTTTAAGAGATAGTGCAGAAAAAAAGGGTTGAAATGGTCTCTCATTAATTTCTTCAGCAAAAAAAGGCTTCAAATAGCCAACTTAAGCACAATATCTGCATAATTTAAAGTTCAAACAACCTAAAATATATCAACAACTAAGCAAAACCTAAAAGAAATTTGAAATTTAAATCATCCTAAAACTTGCAACTTATTTTGCTAAAAAGAAAATTACTGAAACAACTAAAATCATTTTTCAACACTCCTCTGCTTTAGTTGTTGCAATTTTAGAAAGTTGCTCCTCAATTTTTTCTTCTATTGTTCGTGCTTGAGAATTGTTTTGGGCATGTTGAACTTGCACACTTTCATCTATGTTGCTCAGACTCTTCAAAAATGTCAAAGGGTGCGTGTCGAATTCGCCAAAAGTAGTGTATTTTTGGAGAATCCAACAGCGGTGCGGCATTGAAAGTGAAGAGTCCACGCAACTTAGACTTATGTAACATAATTTTCTTATTATTGTTTTTCTGCTTTTGGTTTTGTGCTTAAAAAACACCCTCACTAACTTTGTCTTGACCGAAAGCTTTTATGAAAATACTTGAACTTCTACATTGATAGGATTTGGAAGAAGTGTTTGTAAGGATCGTTCTTCCATTACATCATTCCATAAATCACAAGTTTCAAAATATGATTTCATTTTCACAAACCAAATCTGATAGTTTTCATTGGTGAAAATTTGTGAGGCTTTGAAAGAAAGATTGTTGCTTGCCATAGTTGAAAATAGCTTGTGCGTTGAAAATAAGCACGGGTAAATGGGTTAAAAATAGCCCACAGGTTTAAAGTGGATTGAAAACAGCCCTGAAGGTTAAAAGTGAGTTGAAAATTTTGCCTTGATGGATTAAAAATGGGTTAAAAATAGTTCTTTAGAAGAACTCACAGATCCACTGTTGGCTTTCGCTTAAAAGATGGGGCAGCAGAAAAGGGTTGAAAATGTCTCTCAGTAATTTTATTAAGTATAGGAGGGCTTTAAATAGCCAACTTGAAACACAATATTTGCATAATTTAAAATTCAAACAACCTAAAATATCTCAACAACTAAAGAAAACCTAATAGAAATTTAAAATTTAAATCATCCTAAAACTTGCAACTTATTTTGCTAAAAAAATTACTAAAGTAATTACCTCGATTTTAGGAGACAATGAAAATGC